AGCTGGTCCTGCTGTGCAAAGACAAACCCACGGCCAAGCTCCTGGAGAAGGTCGCCGACAACCTGGGGGTGCAGCTGGCGGTGAGTGGGGCCGCCAGAATTCCTTTGGGGTCGCTCCGGTGCCCACCTTCCGGCTTGGAAAAGTCGCTTTCAGAGGTTCTTTGGGATTGTTAAACGAACTTCTCATTAATCAGGAAAGGTTTGGGTTGGAAGGGGCCTTGGAGCTCATCCCATCCCGCCCCTTCCACCAGCACACCCTGCACTATCCCAGGTTGCTCCAAGCCCCGTCCAACCTGGCCTTTGACACTTCCAGGGATGGGGCAGCCACAGCTTCTCTGGGAAGCCCCAGCCCAGCCCCTCACCACCCTCACAGGGAGGAATTCCTTCCCAGTGTCCCATCTAACCCCGCCCTCTGGCAGTGGGAAGCCATTCCCCTTGGTCCTGTCCCTCCAGGCCCTTGCCCAAAGTCCCTTCCCAGCTCTCTTGGAGCCCCTTTAGGCAGAGCTTTAGGCTCCCCCCAGGAGGGGCTCTAAGGTCTCCCTGGGGCCTTCCCTTCTCCAGTTGAACACCCCCATCTCTCCCAGCCCGTCCCTGGAGCAGAGGTGCTCCAGAGCCATGGAATCATGGAATGGTTTGGCTTGGAGGGGACCTCAAGGCTCCTGCATGCCCAGGGATCTCCAACCCTCTGCCGTGGGCGGGCAGACACCTCCTGCAGCTCCAGGCTGCTCCAGGCTGCTCCAGGCTGCTCCGGGCGCTGGGCTTTGGCCGGGAAGGGCCGCGGGCAGTCTCCCCGGCTCGGGAGCTGAGCGGGGCCGTGGCGTTGCAGGCGATCACCGAGGACAAGTACGAGGTCATCCAGTCGGTGGGCGACGCCGCCATCGTCATCAAGAACACGAAGGAGCCCCCGCTGAGCCTCACCATCCACCTGACGTCGCCCGTGGTCCGGGAGGAGCTGGAGAAGCAGCTGGCCGGAGGTACGGCCGGCCCGGGCCCGGCAGGGCGCGGCGGAGCACCGGGAAAGCGTGCTCTTCAGCTTCAGGCCGGAGCCCGGCAGCTCCCTCTGGGCCAAATTCCAGCCGAAAAACTCCTTAGTTCCGCCAACCTCATC